TTAATGCTATAAAAAGTCCAGACACTGTCAAATGCGAATTGTCCGCCCGTCAGGCACTTTACGAGATTAATACTCAGGTTTGAACAAGGTCGCAAGGAGAGCGAAATTACATGTGAAGCCGCAACAAAATTTTGAATTGTTGCCCGGGCGTTGGGGGCGTTCAACTGTTCGAAGTCGACTCGGTAGGGAGAAATCCAACCGCAAACCACGTTTACAATATGGATACTGACAGCCTACCGAAGTAATCTGCCATTGGGCATTTGGACAGCCTGCCGTTCCTTGCCTCGTAAATTTGGAACTCCGAGTAGCGGCGTTCATTACTGAAATACCCTTTTGGAATAATACAGTTCATTGGAGACACGCGACTTGCAAGAATATTAATTCTGGAGTAAAAACTTCATCGGCTGGCAACGTTGCCATCTGTTGCCATTCAAAGCGGTGTAATTATTGCAATCTCGGCCAGGGGGACGCAGAAATGACGTTGTCGGAGGTTGTCAAGGAACATACGAGTGTTTGTTGTCAGACTGGACGGCATCAGCAAATCCTGATTTTTCCCGTAGTGAACCATAGTGTCCATAGTGGATCCTATTGCACCTGTAGTGGCCTGTAGTGGCTATAGTGCCCATAGTGCTCCATAGTAACCATTGGTACTACATAGTGCTCCATAGTGACCCTGTGGTACTATATAGTACTATGTAGCACTCTGTAGTCACCGGTTGGTACTATGTAGCAGTTTGTAGAAACTCCCTAAAAGTATCATTCATTGTGAGTGTTGGCGTGAACTCCCAAATGATCTTTGAGCAATTGTGATGATGTCCCAGCTGATTCAAAGCTTGACCCCTCTGTTCGAGGCTTTTCTGAAGGGGTCAAAGTTATGAAAACCGCCGCGTTTGGGAAAGTATTTTGCATTTTGCAGCCTAACGAAGCTGTTTCATGCAAAATGCCCTTAGACAAGTCTTGAAGCTCTCATCGAGCTCTACAACTTTTGTTTTGGGTCTATTTTTAGACAGGTGACTCATTCTTGGTATGTTCGTTGCATTAGCAGTTTATTTATCTCTCAGTAATATTTCCAGGACTATTGAAACCAATATAGAGTAAGGTATTGAGGCCGAGAGGAGCAGTTGAACAGTGGTAGTACATGGAGGAAGGCTGAAGTAAGGCTATATTGTGCTACATTTCAATACCAATATGGTTACTTTAGTGCAGTGGTCTTTTGTACATACATTCCTTTTGCCCATCATCAGAAGGTCGCGCGTTCGAATCTTGTAGAAGCCATTTAATTATGCTCTCTTAGTTACTCAAGTCAATAAAGTCAGTAATTCACTTAATTAAAGGTAATAGAAATAAATAAAAGTGAACAAGTTCATTACAAGTAGTGAAGTGAGTTGCGAAAGTGAAATTATTTTTCTGATTGTTGACCTCACTACTATGAGGTACTACAGGGCTACTATGGGCTACTATGGAGCACTCTAGAGCAGGCCGGGCTACTACAGAGTACTATAGAATAATAACCCTTCACTATGGGCACTATGGGCACTATGGCACTATGGAGTACTCCATAGCACTCTGTAGCATACCCAGGATTTGCTGATGGGGTAGAATGTAGAGGTGAGGGCAGCCTTAGGTACGAGTCATGCCGCTGAAATTCATCTGAGCTTCATTGGTCAGAAAACTTCTTGTAGTTCTCAGAAAAATAGAACGATATGTTCTGCCCACTCTTCAAAGCTTTCGAAAAATGTGATCCAAGAGGTGCCACGTCAAATCGTGATGAGAAGTAAACACGACCAACTTCGACCAAATCTGTTCCTCCTCCCGCCATCATGACAAAGAGTTGGAGACAATGGCAGCCTATCTACCCTCCCACAAAGGAAACAGGAATGTCGGGATCTCTCTAGGTCCGAGACCGTCGAGGTACATCGCACAGTGTAATTGACCCGCAGGAACAAATGTTACGAACAAGAGCATTTTTGCGTTACGCCGCACGCCGCGCAGCACTGCCCCTTGTTTCTTGGCGGATGTCCCCGGCTGCTTATAAGGCGCAAAGAGCACCGAAATCCTCATCCGCTTGTCCTTCTTCGCAGACTTCATCCCACCGATCCAATGCCTTCTCCCAAGCGTCTCCTCGCACTCGTTGCACTTCTCGTCTGTGCGTTATTCACCCCCATCGCCGTGTGCGCTTTTTATCCTGAGTGATTGATCATGATACAGCGGTCAACGCCATTGTCCCGCCCGGTCAGAAAGGGCTTCCCAATCAGCCTGCCGACAACAGCACTGCGCCCACGACCGACAACGATATCATCGTGCAGACAGCGAACCAAGTTGACCAAAAGAGCAGTCCCCCCGTCGATGCACCGCCCAACGCCGACGTCCCGTCTACCACTGTCACCGCGCTCGATGGGACCCTCACAAACAGCACCATCGCCGATGCCTCTTCTGGAAACAGCCGCCGCCGCCGCAACATTGGACGTTTTGGCAAGCGCCAGCCGGAATACAAGGAGGTCTTCAGTGGCCTCCCGGCTGATCAGGACGACGCGTCCATCATTGGAACGGCGTATTTGACGTACACCGTTGTGAACAATGCGAGTTATAACGTCAAGGCTTGCACCGATTGGTGTACGACTGTAGACGGATGCGGTATGTATCATCTCCCGTCATCTAATTGCGAAATCTATTGCTGACACCACACCCAGTCTTCGTCAATCTTTTCTACGAATTCAACAACGAACTACTCGACTTTGTGTTCAGTGAGAAGTCCAACCTCAAGTGCGCCGCATACGGCGACAAGCACACCGCAGCTGAGAAGTTGAACTTTGGTGGACAAGCGTCTTATCCTCAAGTGCGCCAGGCCGATTCGTCTATGAATTTCTCAATTAATATTACCTTCAGGTCGACGACGAGCCAGTCCCCCTGACCCATATTACCCAGAGCAGCGCCTGGGCGGTCGACTTCGCCGACCCCGATACTCCCGATGGTTATGAACTTGTCTTTGGGCCTACCGATGGTGCCAACAACGCTCCCGGAGTAAGTTTTCTTACTTTTTTCCGATCTCTTTGTCCAATACTAATCCGTTGTACAGTACATGGGCTTTGCATTCCTCGACAGGTATGATGTCGACGCTTGTGCCCAAATGTGCAACAACCGTGGTGCCGACCCCAACGGCGGCGGATGCGCATACTTCAATATCTGGCGTGCCGTCGTTGACGATGTGCCGACGACGTACACTTGCTCCATGGTGAGCTCGGCCTTTCTCTGCACAACTTTCATTCTAAATTCCATGCCCTGCAGTATTACCTTATCGCCGACGTATCCACTGCAGTCAACTTCGGCCAAGGACCCCTCGTCGTCACCTACTCTCGCGGCTACGCCCGCAAGTCCATCCTCCCGGACGGCGGCTTCGAGGGCTTTACTGATTGCAGCGGCAAGGGGTTCTGCTTCGCCGACTCCTACGTGAACTGGATCGGCACCAGCCCCGCCGGCGGTAAGGACGACGCTACGATCTTGTTCTTCGCGCCCGACGCCCACACGGGCCACGGTTCCGCGCTGCTAGGTTCCGCCAACGGTGACGACAGCCTCCCGGGGACCCTCACGCCCGCGCAGCCGCTGCAGACCGTGAACGGAGCGTCGTACGTCGTGCAGTGCTTCATGTCCTCGGCGTTCGCGGACTCGGGCAAAGAGGCGGCCGCGAAGGTTGATATCAAGTGGAACGGGGAGCGCGTCGGGGGCTTCACAGGATATATGCCATATACATTGGTGCAGGCCCCGGTGGAGGGCACGGGCAGCGACCTGCTGTCGTTCGAGGGTGGCGCCGCGCCGGCCTGGGTCTTTATTGACGACTGCAAGGTCTACCCGGCATGAAGGACTTGAAAATCCGAGCAAGCTGTTAACTTATCCCTATCCTTCTTCCATACTTATTGCTCGGTTAATTGGGAATAGAGTGTATGTACAAGTGCTTTAGAATATTATTTATGAGCCTCTTCATTTAACTGGACCCTTGTGTTCAATACGCCCGACTTCCCGCCATTCAATACGGTCTGGCACCGAGAAGATGAAACACCTACAAGAACAGCCATAATGTGTGAAATTAACTTTGAAGCTCTTCCAAATAATATTGCAGCAAAATTCTCTGCATCTGCGACTTTTGACATCCCATACACTCCGAAACTCGAGGGGTCTCGAGGCCGTACCTAATTTACCATTTCGGTCGCGGTGGTTCGTCACAAGTGCTACTATAACTCGGCCAGATCCTTGAGTAAACCCGACTCGAAGGCTGAATCCGTTGTCCACCGAAATATTCAATAATTTCTTCTGAATACCCCTCTAAAACCTATATGAAGGCCCATCTCTCCCACCAAGCCTTCCAGTCCTCAGTCTCAGACCGCAACCCTACATAAAACTTACATGCCGACCGCTCCCCGAGGCTAGAGGCATTGAGAGCTAACTTTCTCATGTGGGCACTTTCGGCAGGAAGGGCGGACAATTGATGGCGACGCCAACGAGATTTGATGAGAGAACAGGGCGCGTGGGGGTGGATACAAAAAAGGCGTCTGACATCACATAGATCATTGAAATTAGTCCACACTCTTTTGCGTGACAAAACTCCTCTTTCGGGTTTTTTTATGCAAACGAACCCTCATACGAATCGAACAGGCCACGGATTCTAAGCCTGCAAGAGAAGGAGAGAACGAGGGGAGGGGAAAAACGCAAGAAAATCCTCGGGACTTCTCGGATATGGCTCAGGCCCAATCGAACGGGCATCGCGATTATCGCGCACTTGAACGAATTGCGGGTGTGGAACCGTCCACTACCTAGCCTGTGCCCCTGATTCAATCAAGACTCGTACGCAGAGAGAATAAATCATTTTGTGAGTACAATTTACGGCCAGTATTAATTTACTCTTTAGCTCGTTCAAGCACGGGCGACGCGAAAATCAACACCAGCGGTACGAGCGAATCCCAACCATAAAAGAGACAAGAAAAAAAAGATTGTCATCAGACAAGTCATGGCTCGGGCCCGAGTCGAACAAGCGATACTCGCACCAACACAGAATAGTCGACGATATAAATTGCGTGTGTGGACCGTCTGGCACTACCGAGCCGGTTAATCGTCAGCGCGTCCGAGTCAGCCTCGATGCCACTCGTACGTTTGTAAGTTATGGATGCTTTGGGGCGTCCACTTTCAAGTTTCTTCTCACTACAGCCAAGTTCCAAGCCAATGTTGATTCTATTTCACCCAATTCAACACCCGGCCGCGACGGAATTGGAATTATCGTAAGAGGAAGAGACCGAAAAACAAAAATTATCACAGGAATTGGTTAGTGGCTCGGGCGATTCTCAAGACAGAACAGCGATGACACGAATTGCCCGTGTGGAACCGTCCATTACCGAGCCGGTTAATTGGTCTGTCTCAAGACTCATAAGCAGAGAAAAGGAATTGTGGGTACAATTTACAGCGGCCTCTGACTAGTATTAAGTTACTTCTTGATTCGTTTCGATCATGGGCACGGCCGCGACGGAGTTTTAATCATAATCGCCAGAGGAAGAGACGAAAAAAAAAAACGAAAAATTCACGGAGGGATCGCGCAGTGGCTCGGGCCCGAAATCTCCCCTGAGCATTAACACACATCTCCAACATGAATCAATTCGTTCGTACGAGGCATATAACTTGGCGATGGCGGGAAACGTCCGTTCGACTCGGGTCTGAGTCCTGAGCCATAACCGAGATCATTGTTTTTTTTTCTTCCCCCTCTGTCGCGGGCTCCGAATTCGCGGCAGCATTCAAACCCCAGCAACCTTTAAGTACTGAACAAGGGTAGAATCAACATTGGCTTGCAGTTGGCTACAGTGAGAAGAACTTGAAGTAGACGCACCAAAGCATGATGCATCCACAACCGTATCGGTTTCTTGAGACCAAACGGCACAGGCCAATTAACCGGCTCGGTAATGGATGGTTTCCACACCCGCAATTCGTGTTCGTTATGACCATATCTGCTATTTATGCAATCACCCGTTCACTGCACATCTCGTCGCGAACTTTTTTTCTTTTTCGTTTTTTTCCGTCTCTTCCTCTTGCGAGGATACGATTATAATTCCTTCGCGCCTCAGGTGTTGAATTGATGTTTTCGACTCACGTAACGATAGTGTCGAATCGCGCGCCCGGGCCCGGGGCGTCGAATGAATGCCAGATGCTAAAGAGTAAACTAATACCGTACCCATTTCCTTTTTACAAGTCTTGATCTTGAGACCAAACGCCACGGTAACACGCCAATTAAACGGCTCGGTGGTGGATGGTTCCACACCCGCAATTCGTGTCGCTATTCCATCCGCTCTGTGTTCATGCGGGGATCGCCCGTTCGACTCCGGCCCGAGCCTGCCCTGTCCCTTTGTGAATTTATCTTTTTCGGTCTCTTCCTCTAGCGATAATTACATTTCAGTCGTCACCAGGGTGTTGAATTGGTATTGTCGAGCCAGAGGGGGAGAAGAAGAAGCAGACAGCCTGGAGAACGAATCCCGGGATGGTCCGCCACATGATCCTAAGTCTTCCGATGCCAATTTATGCCTTTTCCCTCTCGAGCATTTTATCCTCTTATTTTACATACACATACAAGTATCGATCGTAATCGAGATAGTACATAGGTACATATGTACTTGATGAGATAATTGCGAGTAGCGTCAAGGTCGTGAGATGTATGCAGTATGCAGGGTATGTACAAGAGAACAAAGAGCGGGATGGGGATGGAGGTGGTAGAGGTACAGAATGCACAGTGAGAGAGGCAGTGGATGTAGGTGAGTATGGATGGGTGCATGCCGAGCCCGGGCTCGGGCGCAAGAGAATGAGTAGAATCAGCGAAGGCACCATCGGCGCTAATCCAGCCCGATGAATCACCTTCGGCGCCTCGCCCATGAGACGAACGACGCCTAATCCGCCGCCCATCTCCCCCTCCCCGCCAACACCGCAACAAACACCACCCACCCCCGCAACCCGCAACCCGCACCACCCGCCCCAGCCCCGCGCGCAGCCCAGGCACGCTGCTCAAGAACGGGTGCGGGACGCGCCGCCGCGTCTGGAGCGCACGCGCATGGATGAGCGCGGGGAGGGAGTAGTCTGCCGTGCCTTCTTCTCCCAAGGAGAAGGGGTTCTTGGGAGAGGGAGGGGGACGGGCATGGAGGGTAGGAGGGGTAGAATTTCGAGTGGGAGGACGAAGAGGGGGAGGAGACTGAGGAGAAAGAGGGAGGAGAGCGACGGCGAGGGACAACGCGAGGGCGGGGTCGCGCGGGGGACGAGGTGCAGGAGGGGGACGAGGTGCAGGAGGGCGGTGGCGGGGTGCCCGAGCGCTAGCAGCCCGGTGGAGGCGGCGGGTGCGTGACACGCGGGACAGCGCCCGTCTGAGGCGGGGCCGTGGAGCCGGTGTTATCGTCGGCGTCGTTGTGAGCGCGGGAAGAAAGAAAGAAAGATAGGAGGAGACGCACCGACGAGATGTGCTCGGCGCAGAAAGAGGTGCGCGGGTGGTACCGTGGTACCCGATGTAGCTTGTCCATGCACAGATGGGGAGAGGCACTGCGCGAAGGAGAGGCGTGAAGGTGCGTTGCTCCCGCGCGTACACGATGGCCGTCAAGACGCTGGTGGCGGGTGGGGTGCTACTGCGGGACGTGAATGAGTAGCGGACGGACACACGGGCGGTGATCGTGATGCTGAGGACGCGTTGCGAGGGGATAGTGCACCGAGCAGAGGCGAGGAAGTGGCGTCCCGTGTGCAAAGTCCATGAGATGGCTCTGCACGCCGCGCGAGGCCGGTCGGGAGGCGGGCCCATTCCATGCAGACCGACGCGGAGGAGGCCATAGAAGGATAAGGAGGCGGAGCGCGAGGCCGTAGCGCTCGTCTGCACCCTCTGCTGACCTGCACAAACGGCGCGCAGTGCCCCCAACGAGATCACCATGTCGCATAAACGTAGACCATCCCACTGTGGAGAAATATAATCTCGACAGTATCGTGGGATCGACCGCTCGCGATCTGCACAGCACTTCTTTGCACTCCCCTCTCCCACCGATACCAAGGAAATGACCACGCACCTTAGCCTCTGCAGCCTCATGCCCGGCGTCGGGGAAGCAAAGCGCCCGCGGCGCCTCAGAGGGAAAGGAGAACTTCTGCGATTTCTTGTCAGTAAACGCCATGAAGATGGAGGAGGAGATGGATCGAAAGAGAAATCTGCAGCACAGAGGGGAGAGGAGCGAGCGCGTAGCGCAGTCGAACGTTCGATGCTCGCGATAGACGTGGCAGTCCTGATCGCCGCGGCAGGAACGGACGACGATGCCATGCAATGCCAAATAGACACGTCGGGCCGAAGGCGCGGTGGGGCGGGAAGGCGGGCGCGGAGATTGAGAAGGCGGCAGCGTAGGGGCTCAGCTGATCAGGGGAGTTGGAGTTATCGGGCGGACTCCGTCAAGAGCGCTGAGCCGTCGGGGATGTCGGATTTGCACTGCCGGTCCGCAGGCGTACGGGATGCAGGACGAGAGCGTTGGGTGGTGTAGGCTGCGCCGTACGGAGCGAGGAAAAGCGCGGGCTGGTAAGTTGGACGTCAATGATGCCGTTTGCGCAAGCGACCAAGTTGGCCAGCGGGCCGAAGCAGCCCACTTTTCGGGGTATAAATAAGTTACCTTGCGGTGGAAATGTAGTATGAGGTTGGCTGAGGTGATCCAAATGGATACCCTGAGCCCTGGTTTACATGAGGCCAAGAGAATGTTATTGGATCCAAAAAAATGCGATATTTTCCCGAAGTTTGGCGCGCTATAATTAGGAAACGAAGCCGCATGCTAGCCGCGTGTTGGCTGTGTGTCAGTGAGCTGTCAGTCAGCCCTTGTTCTTTTACCTCCCCCTCCACTGCACATACACAAGATCTACCTCTACTCGGAGTCTACCAATTGATGTCTCATCAGGCTAACAAATCGCGCAAAGTGAATTGGAAGACCAATGGTGCGTCAGACAATTTATAGATCAACGTTGTCACTTATCTTTCCCAGGTGGCGTAAGGGGAGATGGCATACAAGACGGGGGTGGGGGTCCTGGGGAGGGTTCCAGGATGTCTGATGATATCAACACTGAACACTTTCTCGTGCATAATCTGTATGTCAATTCATCCTCTCCCAAACACTGTTTCTCAATAACAGTAGTGGCACTGACATGGGGAGCGATGGTGGAGTGGGCGGCAAACAAGGTGGTGGTAGGGGTCACCAGGCTAGTGAAGTCCACACCATTAATCAAAATATCTATGGTGTGTGGCAAAAACTGGGGAGAATACCAACCTTATTACTCATATTTGTCAGGTGGTATGGGGGGCAGTGGTGGAGTGGGTGGCAAACAAGGTGGTAGTGGGGGCACTGGGGAGGGTCCCAGAATAATCTATGGAGCTATCCAGACTCAGAACTTCATTGTGAATGATCAGTATGTTGATTCAACCCCTCCACAAGACTGTTCTGAACAGAAATTCAATAGAGACAACACCAGAGGGATCCTAGCAAGTCTCAAATGTGTGGCAGCACGCTATAATGCTGTCAACACACCTGAAAAATGCATGGATGGTACCCGAGTTGACATCATCAGGGACCTTGTTGCATGCTTGACCAGCACTCCTGATTCAATTCGCCTGGTCATGCTCAGTGGGGTTGCAGGATCAGGCAAATCCACAATTGCAAAGACAGTCGCAACTATCTTGGCCAAGGAGAAAAATTCTCTGGCAGCATCTTTTTTCTTTTCCAGGGACCACACAGATCGCAAGGAGATAAATCACCTTGCTACAACACTTGCCATGCAGCTTGCAGATTATAACCCTGGTTTTCGGGCTCATCTGATTGAGTTATTGGAAAAGGATTCTACTGGCATTTGCGAGGCAGAACCACACCTACAGTTCCAAAAGCTGGTTGTAGAAATTCTTGGGAAGCTACCTTTCTGCTCAAAACCATGGGTGATCTGTCTTGATGCTCTGGATGAATGTGGAAATGACCGTGGCCAGATTTTCTTGCGGTGGCTATCAGATAGCATGGCTCAGATCCCGGCCCATATCCGGTTCTTTCTAACTGGACGCCCTGATGTTCCTTCCTATCTGAAATTCGATAAACTGCTGTCTCTAATGCATGGTGTTGTCCTTGATGAAATTGAACCCATTACAGTTCAGCGCGACATCCGACTCTATGTTGAGCAATCACTTGATGGAGCCAACTGGATTACACGTCATCCCTGGAAAATTCACAGTCAGCAGGCAGAAGAAATAACCACCCAGGCAAATGGACTCTTTGTTTTTGCAGCTACAGCTGTTCGCTATGTTCTTGCAGGACTGCCACAAACACGCCCCCAGAAATCTGTAGATTATCTCCTGGGTGGTGAACCTCTCACTGACCTAGATCATCTATACCTCCGGATTGTAAATGATGCCATCCCATTAGCTACCCTAGGAGACCAGCGTGCTCAAGACTCACATGGTCAAGCCATGAGAATTCTGAGTACAGTTTTACACCTCCGGGAACCTTTAGATTCCCAGAGTCTGGCAGACTTGCTTGAACTGGAAAAACAAGATCTTTTGGGGATGCTCCTCCCTCTGAGTGCTGTAATCCATGTTTCTGATACTCCAGGGACACCAATCAAAATAATTCACCTCTCATTCAGAGAGTTCATGACATCTCGTGTTCAAGGAACTCGGCGTGAAATCCTCTGTGGCACAGACATTCAGCAGCAAGCCCTGGTGTCTGCTCTTATAAAGGTGTTGGACAGGCAACTGAAATTCAATATCTGTGATCTACCAACCTCATACTTGCGAAACCTTGACATGCCAGATTTGCAGCGGCGACTTGACAACTACATCCCATTGCATCTCCGATATGCTGCTCAATTTTGGATAGATCATCTAGAAGAAACAGCCTATGATCCATGCCGTGCCCAAGAAGTACAGAACTTGCTGTTTAAAAAGTTTCTATTTTGGCTGGAGGTGTTGAGTTTACTTGGGATTGTGGGCTATGGACAGAAGGCTCTGTCTAAATTGATAGTTTGGGCAAATGAGGTATGTCCAGCAATAATCTTATGAGATATATGAAGACTAAGGATCACTAGAGCACATCCCTTATCCAATTTGTGGCTGATGCCAAGAGATTTGTTTCCTTCTTTTGGGAAGCAATTGATCAAAGTGCTCCCCACATTTATCTATCAGCACTGGCTTTGGCACCAGAAGACTCCAAAATGATTGAAAGATTCTCACATGAATTCCCACAATTACTATCAATGAAAAGAGGAAGGATGAGCCAGTGGCCAAGTACAATTGCTGTACTGGAGGAGCACACCAATTGGGTCACCTCAGTTGCATTCTCACCTGATGGCAAGAGAATTG